GTTCTGATACGAGAATGTTAGCCCCCAGGTGGAGGGAATCACGGGAACTCTAGAGTGAGAGCTAGTATCTTTCCTGCCTAGCCGATCTTCAGAACTATTTAAACTTTAAATTAGCCAATGTTCTTTATAGCTTCTCTAGTAAGGGTAAATAATATTATTGATCCTATTTGACATAACATAACTTCCACAATAGAATTCCTATACTTATTACTGATTCATGATAAGAAGAAAGATATTTTCATATTAAGTATCTTTCTTCTACAAAAATTTTGGTTATTTTTTAAGTTGTTACTGTTTCGTTAAAATATAAAAAATATAAAAAATATTTAAATTTTAAATTCCTGCAAAAATCATTTTTATTTTAAGTAATTAACTTTTTAAAAATAAAAAAAACTTTCTAAAAAGTGCATATTGTGTAATCTTCCCTGTGGGTTCGATATTCAGGTTTTAATCAAAAAGTCCTACATTACTTGATAACGATACGTATCCTTGTGTACTATCCCAATATTAATATATATAAATTAAAAATTTAAATTCTTATTTTTATTCAGGATCAAGTTTTTGGTTTGGTTGTAAAATAAGGAAATATAAGTGAAAAATACCATCAGAACTATTGCTATACTGTGCATAAGCATTAAGTAGGGGATCATATACTTGGTGGAAACTAGAGGTTATAGAGGCAGAGCTAGCTTTCCTCCATCATCTTATGGGATGGAACAACTAAGATTTTATTCCCCAGATGCCAATTAATCCTACAGTGTATTCTTCAATCAATGGCTATTACTTTGTATGATGTCAAGAATAATGACTTGTTTCTTTTTGATTTGTATCAATGTATTGTTGTGTCATGATAGTTTTGTCAATTTGTAATCTATTCTTGAACTTGTAATGGTTGTAAAATTTTGAAATAAAAGACATGATTTTCAATTCTTTTCTATGTTTCTTATGATCGTTGGGTTAACTTTTTCATTACAGTTCATTATAGACAATAATATATAGTTTATTTGAGGTTCGTGTCTCTTGATCTCCCAATTGAGAGTATCAAGGCAAAATGAAGAGCGTGCGAGAGAGAGAGAGAGCGAGCGAGAGAGAGAGAGAGAGAGAGAGAGAGAGAGAAAGAGTTACTATTATCTTTTCTATTTCTTGAGTGTTTTCTTGTGAGTGCTTTTTATATTTTTTCCACGATTGTGTCTGGCTTGGAAAAATTAGTTCATCTTTCTTATTATATAAGTTTCTTAAAGAATCATAGGTGGAGGAGCTTGCTGAAACAAAACTAAATTATGTTTTTGGTAATTTAGTGACTCTGTGGTTAGCAAAGAAGGATGAAACTCCTAACAATGTATCTATGTGAGATATGTGTTTATTCAGATTAATTCAGATTATGTTTGAGGTTCCCTCTATCCTCAACTTCTTCAAGCTCATGCTTGCTTAGATATGCCCCAACTCAATGTCATTTATTATGGTCATAATCATGTTACTATTAGTTTAAAATCTATTATGGTTGATGAAACATATTAGGACCATTCTTCGGCCAAAGACATATTCCAACGGGATAGTGATCTTCTTATATGTGGTAATGAGCATGGTAGGCCTTGAGATCAAGGTTTGAGGCTGGAGGAAGAATTTTTATTTATTTAAGTTTTGGAGCAAAGGAGGATGGAAGATCCCCGCCTTGCCTCAACCTATGTAGAAGGAGAGTCGGGCATGTCAGAATTGTCCTCGTTGGAACTCAATGTAAAAATATGTGTTGCAATGACTTGCATGGCGATTATCCTTATTCATAGTACTGCTTTTGAGTTTATGCACTGATATTTTTGTGTTCTCGTTATTAGAAAAATTTCAAGGCCTCTCTTTATATCAACAGATGGGTTAAAAGCAAAGCTAGCCAAACTCGCTCACGAGGATAAATATATAGTATGACCGATGATTTTAAGTGTCCCAAATATCTTTGTGGATGACAACAAGGAATACATCGTGATATCCATTATCATAGGGAGAATGGTTGGTGAAAGGTTTCAGACTGCTTTGAGAATTGATAAGCACTTGAAAGTTTCACGAGTACCTACAAGAATCGAGGCCCACCAAAAAGTAGAGGCAATGGTCGCAAAACCTCGCAGGCTGAGAATTGTGTAAATGAATAAGGTATCATCAAATGTTTCTTCATATGGCTCTTAAATAAGAAATACTTGGGAGGATTTTGACATAAAGGGTCGGATCAACTTGTTTAATAACATGAGTGGATCTGACTTAAGATTGAGTGATTGATGATTCTTATTTAAACAAGGCCTTTTTAATGGTACTTGTGTTAAGCTCTGCTCAATTAATAAGCTAGACCAACTTGAATAGGCAATGACTCTATTTTTTAGTGATGGAGAGTTTGGTGAATGCCTGGGTCTTTTTAACATGTCAATCACATTGCTACTATTAGGAGCTTGTGTCAGCTTATAATAAAACAACAACAACAACCAACCTTTATCTTGCTAAATGGGGTTAGCTGCATGATTAATTTTTTCTATTATGTCCCATTAAGTATCATATTTTCATTTAATTCTCATAAATAAAAATCATTATTTATACAATATGCCCTAATCTTTTTAGGTCCACCTCTATCTTTCTTAACATTTCTAATCTAAAACGTATATTCTCCTAACTGAAACATCAGATGATTGACATTTAATCTGACTAACCCATCTTCAAAGTTTCTCTCTAATCTTTTCTGTCATTATAGTTACACCAACCTATTCATGAGTACATTCGTTTCAAATTTTGTCTCTAAGTGTCAAGCCACTTATCCACCTAAGCATTCTCATCTTAGTAACCCTTTGTTTTATGCTTCTCTTTTAAAGGCCAATATTCTGTTCCATAAAGTATTGTGCGTCTCACCACCATCTTATAAAATTTTCCTTAAAGTCTGATGGTACTTGTACTTTTCTATCACACAATAGTCTATCACACAATAGGCTCGATGCATTCCTCTACTTCAACCAACCGGCTTGATTTCTATTAATTACATCCTCTTCTATATCACTATCACTTTAAAAAATCAACATAATTTATCTAAAATGTTAACTACTTTTAATGATTTGATATCTCATAGTTATAACTCTGCCACTAGATCCACCAGTACTAAAAATACATTCCATGTATTTAGTTTTAGATATACTAAAACTAATCCCTTTAGCCTCTAATGTAAACATCAATAATTCAAGTTTTTCTGAACTCTTTATCTAGTCTTATCCACAAGAAGGATATTATCAGTGAAAAGCATACACCAAGGTACATCTTCCTATAATTGTTCAGTAAGAGCATCAATTACTAAATCAAAAAGATATGGGCTTAAAGCTGGTCCATGATGTAATTCACCTGAAATAAGAAAATACTTGGTCAATCCTCCTTCTGTTTGAACACAAGTAACAACTTTAGTATACATATATTTAATTACTTTAATATAAGTCATATCAACACCTTTGTTTTCTAGAACTCTCCAAATAATTTTCTTGGAACCTTATCGTAAGCTTTTTCTAAATTAATAAAAATAATATGTAGATCCTCCTTACTCTCTCTATGCATCTCTATCAAATCTTTTAATAAATGTATAGCTTCAATGAAAGATTTGCACAACATAAATTCAAACTAATTATGAGATATCCTTATATCACACCTTCAACTATGTTCAATTTATCTGTCATACTTTTAATGTATGACACTTCAACAAAATTCCAAACCCTTGTGCATCCCATTTTTTCTTAAATTTGATGACAAAAATAATCCTCCTCCACTCCTCAAATATATTTTTATTTTCTTAAATGATATTCAAGAGTTTATTAAGCTAAGAAACTCCCAAATCTATTTAATATTTCCACACTTCAATTGCGATATCATCAGGTTCTATTAATTTTTCACAACTTATTTTCTTTAAAGCATTTTCAACTTATTTTTTACTTTCATAAATCGAATGTCTATTTCAATTATATGTTGTATAAAATAAAATTTTGAACTTTTTAATTTGTATGACATAAAATTAAAATATAATAAAAATATTAATTATATTTTAAATTGTCAATTTATTCAGTTAAATAAAAATTAAAATTGAAACTTTTAAAAATAAAAAAAATCAAAATACATTTTTAAAATCGAATCAAATCAGTCAAATTTTCATTGATTTGATTTTTAAAATTTGACTAAATATTACACATCCCTAAAATTATCCGCATACCATAAGAACTCAACCTTGAGAGCAAGCTAGATTTAAATTAAAAAAAAAAAAATTGTACAGCTCACAAATTTTTGTTCGATTTTAATTCTTTTTCATCAAATAACTAAAAATTTGTAAAATTCAAAATTAATGGTAGGATTTATAAAATTAATTTAATATTATACCCATAAGATACCATAATTTTTTTATATTAGTTCATAAATGAACTCCAACTAAGCTTTTGATTTTTGGCTCAACCATCTAAACCAAAATAAATTTTGATTTTGTGAATCTGATTTTATTAAAATTTTGATCGGATCAATTGTTCAAATTTAAGATCTACAACTCGACCGATTTAAAAACAGATTCATCCAAACCGACTGAATGCTCTCCCTCACTTGCTTAAGTATAATAGTTTCTATTAGGTGGGTGGCGAAGGAGAAACTTTCGAGTTGGTTACCCTTAGCCAATCTCCTTGCAATTGGTTTATTTAAAGAGCATAGTCATATGAAATTGAATAATTACTTGATAGGAAATGCAAGTGTCGTTTTTTGGCTGAATCAGTTATAGGAAATGCAAAAACAATATGTAATATTTCAAGCCAAACATTTCTGGATCTTTTGCTTCACATGAACAAAAGACATGCCGTCCCCACCCACGACAGTCGTTCTATCCCTCACTAATCTTCAAAGCAATTAAAACCAAGAATCTTCACCAAATGATAAACGGTTCAATATAATTCCCAACAAAATGTTACTGTAACTACAATAAATCCAGCAAAAAAAAAAAATACTCCCCACTCCCATAAATTAAATATAAATGCATTAAAACATAAGAATTTACAGTAAATTAGATACAATGCACAACCAAAATCAATGAAATGGCAAACTGGACTCTATAAACCCTAAAACAATACATAAAATCATTTTCTATAATGCAGCTGGCTCAGAGGGTGGAGATGACACTGGAGCTTCTGTTTGGGTTAGTGCAGTATCTATAGCATCTTTCGGAGTCTGGGATGTCTCCGCAAAACCTTCGGGGATCTGAAGATTATCTGATGAAACATTTGAGGGTTCTTTAGCAGCCTCTGAAGCATCTGCTGTTTGATTTGGAATCTGTGAACCCTCCGTCGCCGGAGTAGGAGTCGGTGATGTTTCCTGAGGTGAAGCCTCAGCACCATCAGCCGGAGCAGCTGGAGTTGCTGTTAGAGCTGGTGTTGATGGTGCTTCGAGCATCAATGGTGTAGTTGACTTAGGTTGAATCAGGCCGGGTGTACCAGGTTTTTTAATAGTGAGGGAAGGAGCTGATAGAGATGGCATTCCGGATTTCTATGGGAGGTTTCTTCGGGGCTTCTCCAAGAGTAGTTAGCTTAGGGTCTTCCAGAGAAGCCAGGAATGCAGCAGCTGCATCGGTTTTGACAGTACGTTTGTGCTCAATTTCCTTCTGCAGAATTTCATTCCATGCCTGGACTAGGCTCCTCAGAGCTGGACGACCATGGGCCTAAAGGGAGAATGGAGTGAGAAACTTTGGGAGAAATGCTGATAGGAGTAAATAAATGAAGGATCAGAAAGAGTTTTCAGTCGTTATAAACTGAATAAATCCTTAGGAGCATGTATGTAAAATTTGTAGTCTAGGTGTTAGATATGTAAAAGACAAATGAATTGAGTGGTGTGTATGTAAATTTTCCAAAACAATAGTATGAGAACCCAGGGACTGCAAGCTAGATTACAGATGCAGGCTTGAGCATTCTACATCACAGATTCTGGGAAGAAATTCAGGGCTGATAGCAAAGGTCATCATCATCATCTTGGTCATTATTAGTCATATCCCTTAGCAAACTATAATAATCCACGTATCTTAAGTATTATGTTCCTAGTAAACTCAAAACTGTCTTGTATTATATGCAAAAAGCTCAGCCAAAAATATTTTTATCAGTATTCATTGTAATATATCAGCATTGATAAACATGAATGTTTAGAATACTTAGGAATAACTACACTTACATGAGCATGAAGGACGGCCTCTGCGAGCATGCCGGTGTCCTGCCATGCCTTCTCCATAAGTGCATTATCTCCCAAAATTGCAGCCGCAAATGCTGCCTCCCGCCCATGGCCAGCTGTAATCAGATTATTCACCAATCCCTGTAGAAAACATAGCAGTCAGGAATAATACCTTCTATGGCATCCACTATAAGATGTGAAATAAGACGTGTGACCATTATGATTATTAACTCAAATCAAGCGGCAACATTAGACAAAAAACAATGGATAAATATATCATTTAGAGATGGGGATAGAGAGAGAGAGAGAGAGAGAGAGAGAGAGTATTTTGTTGAACCCCTTTGATCATCAATAAAAAATATTTTTTTTCTAAAATAAATAATACCTGAATTTCCCTGAAGAGTTTGGTGGAGAACATAATGAAAGTAGGGAAATGAATTACATCAGCCAAACAAGTTGTTAATGTCTCATCTATTAGTCGTTTATGGAGATGCATAACTAAAGATATAAATGATATGATTAAAACAGATGGTTAAATATAGAGAAGATAATTATAGTGGTTCAAGAAAATTCATCGGGCCAATATAATGTTATTTATGGAGAAAGGATCCATTGTTGCCCTAGAAAGGTAGAAAAAAGGACCATGAGAAATGTATAATTACAATTTGGGAGTAAAATTCACTAGGAGCAAATGAATGCAAATTAGATTGAGGAGCTTAGCCTTTTGAAAAGAGAATGACCGATAAAAGTCTAAATAGTTCTTACAAGGATTTATGTTAAGTAAAACATCTGAAATAAAGTATTTCTTAGAAAAAAATTTAGAGGAATAGACTCAAAAGTAATAGTTGAAGGGAAGATGTAATGATTGCAAAATTTATAATGATTAAAACAATGAGAATCCAATTATTTCCAACATGAATGACAAAAAAAAGATGCAATATATATATATATATATATAATTAACATACTGAAAGTCTCGTAAGCTCTCCATGATTTGCAAGCCGCAGTGCCACCCCCCTCAATACTTGCCCATGCAGAGCACCCTTGACGGATCCTGCAGCAGCTAGCCTCTTGAGAGCTTCACGGGCAACATCTGCTTGTCCAGTAGCATCTGCAGCATCAATGAGATCCATGAATTCCGTTGCAAACTTAACAATTCCTTGAACGGCATCCACAAGATTTTCCTGTTTAGCAGCTGTCAGATTCAAAATTTCTGTTATATCTGTGGTGGCATTTCCTTGGCCGACATCTCTACTATTGCTCATAGTTAGTAAGCATTGCAAAGCTCTTTTCAAGTCATTACTTTGCATAGCCAAGTCAAACTCTAACCTGGAATGTTTATATGTAATAAATTTGAATCAACTATCAATGCCCAAGTAAACTAAGCCGCATGGTGTGAACAAATAACAATTATATTCATTTATACCTTTTAGATATCCCTGGTAAATGAAGAGCTTCAGTTGCATAGCCCATTCCCAGCATAAATTGAGCTAAGTCATCATGATGCTCCCGACCAAGCCGACTTGCCCTGCATAGAATATCAAAATGTCAGCCCTTGCATATACATTAAAAATGTCAAAATAGTACCTTTAGGGCAGAGAAATACCACTTCACTGCACTAACAGCATCTCCATAGGCAGCAAGACAGCGACAACGAATGCCGGGATGGCTGAGAGCCAATGCATAAGCACACATATACCTGCATCAAAGAAAATTCAAAGGAAATATGAGATTTATATCTAATGTAGGGTTATTTTTCTATATAGAAGAAATCTAAGGATATATTTGTAAATATCGTAAAGCTCTTTATAAACCCAAGTGTTATCGAAATGGGTAAGTTTTTTAGAGCAATAAATTCTTTATGGTATCAGAAACATGACCAAGCAGTTAGCCAGCCTCTTACTTTTTTTCATGTAGCAACCACGATAAAACTCGTTATGAAGGTAGAGGGGATCGCGACACCTACCTGATCATGATAGAGCTCACTATAAAAGCAGACGGGATCGCGGCACCTACCTAATCGCTACTTTGGGAAGGCAGACAGGATCGCGACACCTACCTGATTGCGATAGAGCTCGTTGTGAAGGTAGACGAGATTGCGACACCTACCTGATCGAGATAGAGCTGGCTGGAAAGGCAGACAAGATCGCGACACCTACCTAATCGTTGCTTTCTCGGAAGGATCGAAGCTTCTCGCAGGGTTCTGTCGTGAAGGGCTTCTGCAAGGTTTGTTGCGAGGAGCGGAGCAAGGCTTTTCTTCTGATGGTATTTCGTATGCAGTAAAGTCCAGTGCTTGCCTTCTCAAGGAACTGTGGTTCAGGAGTCAGGAAGTCTATGTGTATTATGTGTGATGTAGATTTATTCTTATGATTGAAGTTGTCAGGAAACGAAGATAGTACGGGAGGTAAATGATTGAAACTTATAGGAGAATGGATCCTAAAGTTCTTAAAATCTTGGTCGGGCTCATACAGGGAGCTAGCATCTCAACAGACACCACTACCTCGACACATGCTCCAACGCAGGTGAAACTAGATCTCTCTCCCATGGATCTAAAGCTTGATGGACCAATCATGTATCTGAGTTGGTTGCGTCAGATCGATGCTGCTTTAGTCGGGAAGAGACTAGAAGGATACCTGATGGGAGCAAAGCCAAAGAGTGACAGCGTTGAGGGCGGTGAGAGAAGGACTACACATGCATTGATTTATATTTGGCTACTCAATTCGATGGTTCCATCGATTGCGACATCAGAGGATGACATTTGAAAGACGAATGACATATGGGCAAAGCTGAAGAAGACATATGCTGGAACTGAGAACCACATAAGTGTGTTTCAAATTCAGCGTGACAAAGAAGCTGTGGTACGCGGTGATAGATCAATTCAGGAGTACTCCATAGAGCTTGAGTGACTACAGCAAGATCTTGATCACTTCTCACATATGTCAGGTTGTGTTGATTTGGGGTGCAAGAAGGAGATCTTTGCACAGATAAGGACAATGCAGTTTTTGGCTAATCTGAACCCGGTTTTTTTTCAGAGGAGATCTGTCCTCCTAGCCCAGACAACGATTCCTTTGCTGGAAGAGGCCATCGCTGTGACGTTGCAAGATGACAGTCGCATTAGGCTACACTTTGAGCCTAGTGGTCTTCGAGATACACGATCTGCTGTCCGACAGGTGCCTAAGAGGAGACCCAAAAACGCTACAACTGTGGAGAAGTGGAACACCTGAGCAAAGCTTGTCCAAAGCCACCTAAGGAAAGTGAGACGGGTGGACATGGACAGTCTAGAGATCGCGGTCGTAAGCGGGGGGCCAAAGAGGTGGAGGAGGCCACCGACTGAATCTAATGGTAACGGAGAACGAGGGAGAGACAAGGGATTTTTACTGATGAAGATCATGAGCTCTTACAAAATTTGAAGGGTAAGCAGAAAGCAACAGGTGATGTGTCTGAGGATGCATCAACCTTATCGTCATCCCAGGAGAATACATCTACTTATGCTTACTCATCCAAAAGTACTTATGATACACATGCTCTTGCTATTATATCCACCATAAAATCACTAGAATAGATAGTATATTCTAGTGCATATAGACATGTGACAAGTGTTGCTACTGAGTTCTCTTCATAAACTCACCGAGCAAGTTCAGAAAGTATTCAGATCGCTGATGGTAGAACACAACAAGTGGTTGGTAACGGTACGGTGAAATGTACCAATTATATGACTATGTCCAATGTTTTGCATGTTCTTTTCTTTTTAGCGAATTTTTTATCCATTAGTGCTAATATACTTCAACTAAAATGTATTGTTTTATTTGATATTCCTAAGTTGATCTTTCAGGAGAAGGGGACTGGCCAGTGACTTGGGATTGACACGTGGCATAGTAGACTCTGGTACTTTGATAGAGAGGGGGATGGACTTAGCCTTGACATCCATGGTAGAGAATGCTGAATTAGAAGAATCTGAGATGAGTGTGGAGGATGTGTTGCTGCTACATCACAAACGCATGGGACATTCTTCATTTAGTCTGTTGAGTCGTTTGTATTTATCTTTGTATGAAAAGACAAATAAATAAAAGCTTATGTGTGATGCATCTGAGTTTGGTAAGTACCCTAGGAGCTCTTATGTTAGTTATGATAATAAGAGCTCTTGTGTTTTCGAATTGGTACACAAAGGTATGGGAACCTTGTTCTAGAACCTCGATGAATGCCTACAAATATTTTGTGACTTTCATTGATTGTTTTCCTCGTGTTGCTTGGTTGTACCTGATGAGAAACAAAAGTGATGTACACCAGATGAGAAGCAAAAAATGATGCATACGTGATGAGAAACAAAAATGATGCATACCAGATGAGAAGCAAAAAATGATGTATACCTGATGAAAAGCAAAAAATGATGTACTTGCATGCTTTAAATATTTTCACATGACAATTCATACTCAATACGGTGCAATAGTAGTGTATTGAGGTCTGATAACAAGACCAAATATACCGACAAGATGCTTGTGGAGTACCTGTCAGCACATGGGATACAACATCAAACCACTTGTCCATACACACCAACACAAAATAAAGTAGCAGAGAGAAAAAATAGACACCTTTTAGAGGTAGCCAGAAGTAGGGCTGTAAACGAGCCGAGCTTGAGCGAGCTCAAGCTTGGCTCGTGTTCGGCTCGTTCGAAATAGCTCGTGTTCGAAATCGGCTCGTGTTCGAAATCGGCTAGTGTTCGAAATCGGCTCGTGAACAGTGTGTTCGTGTTCGGCTCGATTTAAATATTTGTGTTCGTGTCCGGCTCGTGTTCGGCTTGAAATTGGCTCTTTAATCTAAAATTGAGAAAAATAGATGTAATGTGTGGGATTCGAACCTGGATCAAATCTATACAAAAGAAGACGCTAACCACATTGCTACATGAGGCATTATGATTTAAATTTAGTCATAAATATATATAATATATTATTATATAAATAATATATATAATATATTGTTATATAAAAAATTATATATATATATATTT